TGTATAAGGGGGAGGAGGAATAACCTGTATCTCCCTGAGCGACAAGGAAGTAAGAGTGAAGGAATCAGATGAGAGAAGAACAAGTAAATGAACAAAAAGGGGGTGGGAGGGGAGTAGTTAGGGACAAATGAATTGACGGGGAGCTGGTAAGCCTCAAAGACAGAGCTCCACCCTCTCACACCTCCTCTCCACAGTGCCAGCATGTATCCGACATGAATATTTCAGACGTGAATATACTTAATACGCCTCTTGGAGGCTAGTGGAGGCTGTTTTTTGGGGGGATAAGGTGTAATTTTATCCCATTCCTCAGTGGAAAAGGTTGTTTACACTGGCGTACATATAGGGGTTGCAGGGATCGAAGCTGCAACTGGGCCCCTGCGACCATATACCAGCCGCCATTTTTTGCGGCCCCGGCCTGCATGTCAAACTGCCGGGGCCGCCGTTCAAGGGCTCCATCGGGTGGCCCATGCTGTTAGGGCCACCTGATGGAGATGGATTTTCAGGGGACCCGGTGGCGCTGACATCACACGCTGGGAGGAAATGACTGCCCCGGTCACTCCTCCCAGCATACAGAGAGCCGCACGGGAGGAAGGACAGGGAGTCAGACTGGGAACTCTGACACCCACCAGCCTGAGCCACCACTGGACCCTAGGGAATGTCACCATCCTGCACCTAAAAGATATGAAACAGGAGGGTGACACTTATATTTTGTATATATGTGTGTTTGTTTGTATGTATGTGTGTATGTCTGTGTGTGTGTGTCTGTCTGTATTTGTGTGTGTGTATGTGTATGTCTTTCTGTATGTGTGTAACATAGAAACATAGAAACATAGAATGTGACGGCAGATAAGAACCATTCGGCCCATCTAGTCTGCCCAATTTTCTAAATACTTTCATTAGTCCCTAGCCTTATCTTATAGTTAGGATAGCCTTATGCCTATCCCACGCATGCTTAAACTCCTTTACTGTGTTAACCTCTACCACTTCAGCTGGAAGGCTATTCCATGCATCCACTACCCTCTCAGTAAAGTAATACTTCCTGATATTATTTTTAAACCTTTGTCCCTCTAATTTAAGACTATGTCCTCTTGTTGTGTATGTGTGTGTGTCTGTCTGTGTGACAGTCTGTTTGTATGTATGTGTCTTTGTATGTATGTGTGTCTTGTGTGTGTCTGTGTGTATGTGTCTGTATGTGTGTCTGTCTGTATGTATGTGCCTGTGTGTATGTATGTATGTGTCTCTGTATGTGTGTCTGTCTGTCTGTGTCTATGTATGTGTGTCTATGTGTATGTGTGTATCTGTGTGTTTGTGTGTCTGTTTGTGTGTGTATGTATGTATGTGTCTTTGTATGTGTGTCTTGTGTGTGTCTGTATGTATGTGTGTGTGTGCCTGTCGGGGGCAGAAAACAGGAGGGGGAGGAAGAAGGGGGGGCCCATCGGTCAGTTTTGCAATGGGGTCCCATGGATTGTGTGTACGAAACTGGTTGTTTATAGATCCCCTTTCCTTTTCTGTTGATGCAGGGAGGAGCCAGTAGATAGCAACCCTCCACCAGCATCCTGTAAAATAACAAGATTTTCCAGGTGGCCATAGAATTTTGAAGACACAGTGATTCGAACTCTGTCAGGGATCTGATAAGGTATGCCTGCACCTAAAAGGTATGAAACAGGAGAGTAACACTTATATTTTGTATATGTGTGTGTTTGTTTGTATGTATGTGTGTATGTCTGTGTGTGTGTGTCTGTCTGTCTGTGTGTATGTGTGTGTGTGTCTGTCTGTATGTATGTGTCTGTATGTATGTATGTATGTATGTGTCTCTGTATGTGTGTGTGTGTGTGTCTGTCTGTCTGTGTCTATATATGTGTGTGTGTGTGTATGTATGTATGTGTCTTTGTATGTGTGTATCTTGTGTGTGTCTGTGTGTATCTGTCTGTATGTGTCTATGTGTGTGTATCTATGTATGTATGTGTCTGTGTGTCTGTATGTATGTGTGTGTGTGCCTATCGGGGGGAGGGGGCAGCAAACGGGAGGGGGGAAGAATGGAGGGGGGGCCCATCGATCAGTTTTGCACCGGGGCCCCATGTATTGTGCGTATGAAACTGGTTATTTATAGATCCACTTCCCTTCTGTTGATGCAGGGAGGAGCCAGTAGATAGCAACCCTCCACTAGCATCCTGTATATTAACAAGATTTTCCGGATGGCCATAGAATTTTGAAGACACAGTGATTCGAACTCCATCAGGGATCTTATAAGGAATGCCTTTTGAGGAATTGAAGAAAGGTATGTAGCGATTTGAGTTCTTACCATCCAGTGAAGGAATGGATGAGGGGCCTTTAGGAATAGAATGGACTGCACCTCCAGTGGGGACTGAAGAGCATCTATCGTGGGATGGGTTATGTTGTAACATTCTCATGTGTTTATGCAGGAAAGTCTGGGTTTTCTCTTAGGGGAAGCAGTGGACCCGGTTCCGTGATAAGGTAATACTTAGTACCATCGCAATGCCATAGGGTAATCATCGACTTGACAAAGGGATTGACAGCAGCTAATCATCGGTTCTCCTCATCCATAAATTGTAAATCTGCCAGGATACTATAGGACTACAATGCCATCATGTGTTCGATTGTCTGTGGTCGTCCAACTGATGATCCTGGTGAAGTGTGCTGCCAGATAATATTTTTAAAAATCTCTGAAAACCTACCCCTCTCTCAATTTCGGGAGTTTTAATTGACTGCATGAGATTCTTGGAGATCTCCCCCCCAGATGCATTCTCTTACTTCCACCCTAAGAGTTTTGAAATAAGTTGGTGGGACATAAACTGAGACTATCTGAAAGAGAAACAGCAGTCTTGGAAACCGAGTCATCTTAACCTCATTAACCTGACCTAGCCAGGAAATATAATAGGAAAGCCACAAAACCTAAAGTGTGTGCTGTGATTTTGTTCCACCATAATTTGAGGATTTCTTTGGAATTTCTCTTAGAAGATTTCAGATGGGTAAGCATATGTATAATTTTACAGGTATTAGATTTGTTGCTCCATCCATCTATTTTTGAGTGTTAGGGCATAAGTAGGGCCATTCATTCTTAATGGGGCTGTCTAGGGGAGTTACTTATTTTAAAGTCCCGCACATGATACCCCTCATCCCCTATGACCTCTCTAGCAACTGCTCAGCAATGGCTTAGACATCTAATTTACATGCCCCCCACATGCATAAGGAAGCAAAATACCTCCATTATAGTAATTTTAGTAGTCTGACCACCCCCCATTACTTATTTAAAAGTCTGCTACAGATGCCCATAGATAAAACTAAAACCAAAATAGATAAGTACTGTGCCAGCTCCTCCAGTGTGCATGTTGAAGACTGGGCAGATAGGAATCACTTTTCATCTGCTCAACAGTCTCTCACACAGGGAATGTCTTGTAAGAGGAGCAGGGGAACCACGTGGAGATTCATTCAGATTTTATCTAATGTGTATAGTTTCTCTGCCAGTAGAAATTTCCTTTTATGGCTAAATTGCTTTCCTGCGTGTGGATAAACAGCAACCATTATTTTTGAAATGTAATATTTTTACCAATAAGCAGAGGAGGAAATTATACTGTAGCAGTGCTTTTTATTCTGTTTCTTATATAGGTTTTATTTGCCACGCAAACTATTTTTATTGCATTGTTAATCATGCCTTTTCAGGGGACGTTTTTGTAGCACAATGAGCCCATATAGCGTTTGGAAATAACCAATTGTCACTTCATTCTGGGTATCTGCAAAGGAAAAGTGGGCCTTAATTAGACCTTTAGAACATGACTGTAAATAAATGTTTTTCCCTAAAGACATGTCTCAGTTCAGAAAAACAGAGTTCATAGCAAACTGGCAGCATAAGTGATCATGTTCTGGCAAGGTAGGTGGGTAATTTTAAGTGAAATTAAACATGCAGTATAAGCGGAAACTAAGCAAAGATTTGGGTCAGATCTTGTTTAATAAACATTAAAGCAGCACTACAGTATTAAGAATACAAACCTGTACTCTTAATGCTATAGTGTCCCTGGCCATAGGAATAAACAGTCATATAAACATAAAAGGTAGGGTAAGAGACACAAATGGGGCAAAGGGAGGGATAAGAAACACAAAGAGGTTAGATATACAAAAGAGAGTAAGAACACAAAAAGGAGGATAAGAGGGACAAAAGGGGTATACAATACACAAAAGGCAGTATAAGAGACACAAAAAAGGGAGTAAGACACGGAAAATGAAAAAAAGGATGGGTAAGAGAAGCAAAGAGGAGGTTAAGAAACACAGAGGACTATTGAAGATGCTTTTTAGGGGTGGCACTAATCCATGCACTGGCTCTGTGTGCAGGGTACACTAGAATACATTAAACAGAAAAAGACCTGTTAATCAGAGATTCAGTACAACACACCATGACAACCACACATTCATGTGATGATAGGTAAAGTCTAGAATCTGAGCCATCTGAGAACTCCATGATGTGGTCTATTAGATCTGCCATACAGGGACGTATTAGCCGCGAGGCAAACAATGAATTTGCCTTGGGAGGCATTTTCCAGGGGGCGGCAAAAAAAGCCGCCCCCAAATGCCTAGGGCAAATGTCTTGTTAGCCTTGCGGCTAACTGACAAGCCAGGCGGGCTGCTGGGCGGGCGGGCGGCGCTGGCAAGGGAGCACTTTCCCATGAGCGCTCTGCTCAGCTGCCTCGCGCGCAGCAGAGTGATGCTGGGAGCCGGAATATGATGTCATATTCCGCCTCCCGGCATCAATCTGCGGAGCGCGAGGGAGCTGAGCAGAGAGCTCAGGGGAAAGTGCTCCCTCGACAGCAACCCCCATCCGACTGACCGCCCAGCAGCCCCACTGGACCCCAGGGAGAGGGAGAAGCCCCCCAGCATTCCCAAAGGTAAGGTGGCTGGGGGGGGGGGGTTGAATTTTTAAAAGAAAAAGTGAGTGTGTTAATGTGTGAGTGAGTAGGTGTGTCTATTAGTGAGCACGTGTGTGTCTGTTAGTGAGTGTGTGTGTGTGACTGTTAGTGTGTGCAGACACACACTAACAGACACACACACACACACACACTCACTAACAGACACATTAGTGAGTGTGTGTGTCTGTTAATGTGTGTGTCTGTTAGGGAGTGTGTTACTATGCGTGTGTCTGTTAGTTTGCATGTGTCTGTTAGTGAGAGTGTATGCGTGTCTGGTAGTGAATGTGTGTGTCTGCTAGTGACTGTATGTGTCTGTTAGTGAGTGTGTATGTCTGTTAGCTAGTGTATGTGTGTCTGTCAGTGAATGTGTGTGTGTATTTAGAAGCGGGGAAGAGGGGGTGGCGGGGGTGGCGCGAGGGGGGGGGGGCGTCTGAGTTTTGGCATGCCTAGGGCAGCCAAAAACCAGGATACACCAGTGCTGCCATAGATGGTGTATAGTCGTCATGAACAGCTCATTCGAGAATAAACAAGTCCTGTACAATTCTTTTGTAATCTTCCTCTCTTTATATGCCTTAAAATGAAAAAAATCTAGCTGACAAATGGGGTCCATGTCAAAGACTTTCTAGCCTGACTGGGGATTTTAACTGGATTATTTGATACTTTATTTGCAATTTTTAGAACAAGCCTATGACTAAATGCATATGAAGCCTATACACACATACATATATATATTTGTGGTCGGGGAAATATTGCTGTTAAGGTTAGATAACACATAAATAGTAATAAATACCATAGTTTAAAACACCAGTTGGTTGTGGTGGGCCAGAACCGACAACATAGTAGGCCTGTAATTACAGAGGGCAAAAAGAAGTGTACCACACAAAATTTTTATTCATTCTGCAATACATCGATCATTTGGATAAGTCACAAAATGCCTGATGAATCTTTTTAACCGGTTCTGGTATATATAAGGTATTAGTGGATGATTTCCAGTGTCCCATTACCTTGATGTTATGTGCTGGAATATGATTACAGGAGGCAGATGAAGTTGCCCCTATGCAAAAAGAGTAGTGAGTTGAATTAAAACTAAACCTAGTTAATAGTTTGCAAACATAGAGCGTAAATTTGGCAAAAGTGGTTAGTGTGGTTGTTTGTGAATGGTGCTGAAATATTTGTCTGATACCTTTACTGGGCACCATCTGTTATAGGTAGGGTAGAAGGGTATATATCGATCGGGCGTCCAATCTGGCTGGGTTGTGATGGGGTAAGTGAAAGGATGTAGTGATCCATAATTTTATTGATATTTATAGTTTTAATGTAATCTGTGGAAGTTAGATTAATAGAGGTGAACTCTTTTGGTTGTAGGAATCCGTAAAAGGAGGTTTTAATCACCATATTGGTAACAGGTTCGAAAGGTGACGTGTGTAATAAAGCGGATAGTGATTGGAACCGTTTACCTTGGATAGGTAGTCTCTTAGGGGGTAATATTGTGTCTGATTTCTGTATTCCTTTCGGGAAGGTTTTAATTTGGTAGGATAATAGGAATCCTGTTTTGTTAGGGTGTTGTATCAGCATGTGATGTTGAATGGCCATTAAGCAGAGTTTGATAGTGTTATATTATAATTTTAGCTTAAGGTTGCAAAAAAGAAGTGAACCCTAATAAAGACTCCATCGCAAACATGTTATGAATTTGAAAATCGGCAATGAATTTGGTGAAAAGGTGAAAAGCCCTATTGTAGGATTTCCTTGTGTTAACTGAGAATGCCAGGTGGGTAAGGTTCTGTATGTGTGATAATAAAACATTTCATCCATTAACATATCTTGGAATGGAGGGGCAGGAGTAGCCAGATGGGAAGCGGTGGACAGGCGATCCTGGTACTATAAGGATTTCTTTGTAGCAAGTTACACTTCAGACACTCTATTACGATATGCTATTTTGAGTAAATGAGTCTCTAGGTAGTTATTGGTTTACAACACTGCCATACAGCAACTCTTTACTGTATCTACCCTGCTGCCTCCCATTTTGTTAATACAGCCTCACGGACCACGGGCCAACCCCCTATCCCGGACCCCATGTATCTTATATAGTCTCTATACGTTTTTCAATAAAGTATTTTTTATTTTATCCTACCCTGTACACCAGGGGATTTAATACCCCCCACGTGGGCACTTGAAACTTGTTTGTAATTGATAATATACAATTCATCTAATGTATACAGTTGTAATAATATCAAAAGATATTGCTTAATAAAGCCAAACTTTATAATAAATTTAAAAACGATTGAAATACATCACATATTTAATTTTTAACATTCAAAACTAATTAAAAATCTAAAATTAAAAATTGAAGATTAAACATACTATAGAGAGAAAAGAGACATAATATTACATTTTATACAGTATTATATATACAAAATTTTCTTTATCTATATATAGCAAACTATAGAAGTAACCATCCCAAGATTAATAAAAACATCATATGTAATGATGATCATTTTATTCGGCTGAGGGACATGGCGAAGACATCATCGAATTCTTTAAAAAAATTATCATAAAAATTAATTAATAAAAATTAGTTAATAAATCAATAAAAATTCTATGGAAACAAGAAAAAGTTTTTAATATTAAAAAAGTTTTTATAGAGATATATTTTTATAAAATAATTTTATAAAAATAGTAAGTAAAAAAGAACTCTGTAAGAACCCTAAAATACTTATAAAATTCAGTCCATAAACACTAATAAATCCAGATCAACATTTAGACCTCTTGGAGAAGTAGTTTTAAGTCTATGAATCCACTCTGTTTCTTTCATAGCTAGCGCTTTTTCTGTATCACCCCCTCTCCAATGGGGGATTATCGTATCGATCCCTATACATCTAAAATCTTGGAAACTAAAATGAGTACAATTTATGCAGTGTTTGGGGGCACTATGTTTTATGTTCCCTCTTTTTATACCGTTAAAGTGTTTCAAGATTCTAATATGTAGTTTTCTTATTGTGCGACCTACATATTGTATGATACATTTGCATTCAAGTAAATAAATTAAATTTTTTGTTTGACAGTTTATATAATTCTTTATTTTAAAAACTTCTTTAGTAGCAGTACATGTAAATTCTGTTGTCTTCTGTTTCTGGAATCTGCATGTGCTGCACTGCCCGCATTTAAAGAAACCTTTTGGTTTTTCTTTAAGAAAATTATTAACCTTATTACCAAGAGTGGCTTCTTCTTTAATGGGTTTGATACGAGGTAAAGCACTTGGAGCTAAAATGGATTTAAAATTCTGAGTTTTTTTATAAATAATCTGAGGTTTACTTGGTAAAATATTCTTTAAAAATTGATCTTGTTTTAAAATAGGCCAAAATTTCTTAATCGTTTTCTCTACAAGATGTGCTTTGTTATTATATCTAGTTAAAAAGGAGATACTGTAGTCTTTCTTATTTTTCTTATAGATCTTTTTATTTTTTAAGAGTTTATTTCTATCTTTATTTTCTACCTGTTTCTCTGAATTAGTCAATAATTGAGATGGATAATGTATTTTTTCAAATTTCTTATTTAACATTTTAACTTGTTCTTTAAAATCACTCTTATTAGTACAGTTTCTAAGGAGTCTCGTTTGTTGTCCCTTCGGTATATTGTTAAGCCAATTAGGGTGGTGACAGCTACAATATTCTATAAAGCTGTTCCCATCTGTTGGCTTAAAAAAAGTTTTATTACAAACGACTCCTGATGATACAAAAAAAGAAAGGTCTAGAAAATTAATACTCTGCGTCTGAGTTTCAGCCGTGAAACGCAGTCCATAGGTGTTATTATTGATATATGATAAAAATTATTCTAAAAGTGGCCTATCTCCTTCCCAAATAATAAGGACGTCATCGATATATCTTCTCCAGAGCACCAGGTTCGCACCATAGGAGTTATTATTCCAAACATTCTTTGCTTCCCAATCCGCCACAAAAATATTTGCGTAACTAGGTGCGAACCTGGTGCCCATTGTTTTTCCACAAGTTTGAAGGTAATATGTACCTTCAAACCAAAAGAAATTGTGAAAAAGGATAAAACGAATGATATCTAAAATCAAAGTGGCTTGTGCTTCATGCATATTTATGTCCTTTCCCAAAATTTCTTTGATAGCCTCAATACCTTTCTCATGATCAATCGACGTATACAAAGATGCAACGTCTACCGTGGCCCAGATGTAGTTGTCTTTCCACACCAGGCCTTCTACATCTGTAATAATTTGATTTGAATCTTTAATGTATGAGGGAGCCGCTGGAACATATTTTTGTAAAAAATGGTCTACATACTCTGAAACATTACTAGTCAGAGAGCCAATGCCACTAATTATTGGCCTCCCAGGGGGGTTAATAAGTGACTTGTGAATTTTTGGCAAATAATAAAATATGGCCATTTTTGGAAATTTAATAAAAAGATATTCAAATTCGTCCTTCTTAATAATATTTTTGTTAAGACTTTCTGACAACAATTTAAAAAGCTCTTTTTTATATGTTTCCATAGGGTTAGATTTTAAAATAGTGTATGTATCTTTATCATTTAAAATTCTATACGATTCTTTCAAGTAATCTTCACGGTTTAGAATAACTGTACCTCCTCCTTTATCTGCCTGTTTTATGACAAGTTCATGATTTTCTTTAAGTTGTTTTAAAGCATTTCTTTCTTTTTCAGTAAGGTTCTCCTTTCCATTATTCTTTGTTAGTGTTTCAAATTCATTTAGAACCATGTCACTAAAAAACGGGATAAAATCTCCCTTTTCCCAAGTTGGGAAAAACTTGGATTTGTGTTTTAGACCTGAATATGTAATTTGTGGAGATATAGATTCTATATTTTCTTTCTCAATGTTATCGCCATATCCCTCAACCTCTCCTTTCTTTTTCTCAAAAAAACGTTTAATAGTCAATTTCCTCAAAGATTTCTGAGTGTCAATAAATAATTCGAATTGGTTTGGACCTTTTTGTGGAGCAAATTTTAGTCCTTTGTCTAAAATACTGGCTTCAGCTTTATTTAGTTTATATTTAGAAAGGTTAAAAATGCCTTCTGGATTGTCAGAGTTTTTATTGTCTTCTGACTCTTTCAGTAGTCTGACATTTCTCCCTCCTCCAGTTCCCCTAATCCTCCTACGGCTCCTAGAAGTTTTC